GATAGTATGCTGGAAAGAGGTGGCCCGGCCCTACTCCTTGGTGGCGAAGGCTTCGTCGTGCTTCCCGCACTTGTTGACTACCTCAATGCCATCATCGTCGAAGATGATGACCTTGAGGGTGTCGGGAGTGAGGAGCTTGAACGTCACCATGTAGCCGATCTTGATCTGATGAACGACTGCGTAGGTGGCCCAACCCTGATCCAGGGTCACCCTGCCGTTCATCAGCTTGACTGTCACCTTCCAGGAGTAGCCGGTGTTGTTCCTGAGCTTGAACTCCGTCGGCACCACGACAAAGTGTTTGGTGAAGTCCAGGGGCATGGGGATGCACTCAAGCTTCAGTGCAACGATGACCTTGCAGAAGTGAGTTGAGCCATCCTCCTGATGATAGTGGCCATAGTTGCGGTGCTTGTTGATGGGGGGCTCCTCCACGCCCTCGTCGTCGCCACCCTCAGGCGTCTTCTGGTCTTCTTCGGCGGTGGGCGGTAGCACAACCTCGTAGGGTATTGGATGAAGGGCATGCTTGCCCTTGTTGTCAAGGGCCGGGAGCACCTCCGTGCCCATCTCATTACTCTTCTCGATCTGCACACAATTCATGGAGTCAAGCACAACACAGAGTTCATGGCTAATTGAAGAGCAGTTCATGGTTAATTGAAGAGCATGTAGTTAAAATAGCATGACTGTCACTCTTCTCCTCCTACCCTCCACCCCCCTATATTTACTCACCTTGCCCACCACTACTTACCCACCCCCTCTATTCTCTCACTGTCAACCTTCCTCCTCCCCATCGCCATGAGCTCTAGCTCTAGCTCCAACGCCAACCCCTTCCCTTGAGGTATTGGCTGGAGGGCTTTTTTTCTCGGGTGGCCGGCTGGTGACCGCACCAAGTTCGAGAACACCATGGAGGTGTGCTCAAACTTCGACTCCATGCCGGACATGCAGAACGAATCAAATGCAGTGCTTATGAAGGCCACTAAAGAAGAGCTGAAGACGCTGATTCCTGACCCAACGAAGGGTGCGATGACAGTTGACATCATTCGCTGGGCCATGAATCAGGTCGTCTCCGACGACGCTAAATGGAGGAAGAAGTGGTGCAAGTACAGACCTATTGGGCTCCTAATGACCGCCGTGTCGCAGTGTACTGGGAGACGGCTATCGCGCCGACGACGGTCATCGCTGGGGAGCCTAAGGAGGTGGAAGAAGAAGCGGTGCACATGCCAGTGAGGGCGTCGGAGCCAGGCCGTCGTACCTGGCAGATCGACCTCGACTCCGCCGAGGACGATGACGACGACCTGCCGGCCCGCACGGCGATGAAGAAGAAAATGAAGGTCAGCGGCTCGACCAGCCGCTCCGCATGCCGGTGACGGCCGTCGCGGTCGACCGGTTTTCGTTGTGTACCCCCAATCCCCCAATCCCTCAATCCCCCTTCTGCATTCCGATCTTGCATGTATGAACTCGTATGAACTGCTATGAACTAGTATGAACTACCCCTATGCTTATCTATCTCTATTCCCCATTCCCCTCCGCCGTGGATCGAATCTATCGCCGTGGATCAAATCTAGCGTGCGTGCATGTTGAAGAGAGAGATGTGCTTACCGACATTGATGGAGTCCGGTGGTTTTCTTCCTCTGCTCCGATCCGCCGCCGCCGGTGATGGAGTCCGGTGGTCTTCTTCCTCTGCTCCGATTCGCCGCCGCCGGTGAGAGTCAGGAGAGTGGGGAAGAGTGGGGAGAGGGAGTGGTGAGGGGCGGTGAGGCTAATAACTACCGGCGCTTCGGGAAGCAACACAACTTCTCGAGCGTGGTCGCGCGCGTGCAGCCGACGCCGCCCACGTGCACCACTCGGGCCTGACCCTGGAGAAACTGCCGATTCGTGCGTTTCCAGTGAGCCAGACCTAAAGGTGCTTTAAGAAGCGTGCGATGCAGACCCAATAGTGTATGCGGGCTATCAAACATGCTGATCACTTCCCGCGCCGGCCTGGTCGAGGCCTATGCAGACAACCAAACACGCCCCTAGGGACGACTACTGCCTCCCTCCTGCTTTATTGTCTTCATCGTATTTTGGGTCAAATTTTGACCTTAAATTTAATTAACAGAATATTAATGCATAACGCAAAAGTTAATATCATTTAAAACTATATTCAAATATGAATCCAACAATACAATTTTTGGTGATATGTTTTAATATTTTGTCAGTTAAATCTATGGTTCAAATTTAACATAAAATATAAAGGGGACCAATAAGTCAGGACGACGGTAGTACTTCTTACAGGTTGGTTAAATCTTAAGTATATTAGTTAGCTATAAGAGCGGAAATTGCTTTTGGAGGCCGAGCTCCATGCAGGCCTTCAAATGCAAAATTCAAAATTCATGAAAATTCATATTTTTATATTTCAAAAAAATCTGAAAAAAATACGGAGATAGATGAAGGCATAGTGCATAACTGTGTAATTTTTTAAGACGAGATACGTCAAAATAAGGGTTGAGTAAATTTTCAGGACGAAATACGTGAAAAATAAGGGCCGTGCAAAAAACACAAATATGGGGCTTTCTAACACATGATCCTATTCGTCCTCCCAAATCATGAATTTGTCTTTTTTGTACATGTCGCATTTCAACGTATTTTATCCTGAAATTTACACACGTACGTCTCACATCCTTGTTTACTTGTATAAAAAATCCAAACTTTTTTGAAACCGAAATCTTCAAATTTTGATTATTTCAAAACATAGGCCTTCATGGGGCAAAATTTCGTGTTTTGACCCTTTGGGAGAAGTTGTTCGAAATATGACCCTAGCTTGCAAAAATTTCGGAATCTGGCCATTTTCCTACCGTCAAGGGGCATGGCGGTAGGGTATAATAGCCTACCAATAGGGTTGCAGCCCTATCAAAAAAAAATTCTAAGTTTCAGACATAGTGCGTGTGGGCACCTACCGCTGGTCACCTTGGTGGTAGAGTTACACATGCTACCGCCATCCCCTGTGATGGTAGGGATACGTTGCGCTGACGTGGTCAAGTTTCTTACCGCCAGAGGCCTTGGCGGTAGGCTGCTATACCCTACCGCCATACCCCTTTTGAGCATCAGTACAGACACAAACGCTCATATACACGCGCATACACTCACCCCTATGAACACACACACGCACACCCTACCCCTATGAGCACCTCCGAGAGACTGAGCCGGCATATCATCTTGAGATTTACGAAGTCACCGTAGGCGCCTCGTCGTCGACGGGAACGTCTCCTCCCACTAAAAGCGCATCGCCGGAAATCCTGAAATAAATCCAGGAATAATGCGAGCACCAGAATTTGAACCCTGGTGGGTTGGGAATACCACTGTTCACCTAACCAACTCAACCACAGGTTGATTCGCCCCTACCGCCATACCCCTGGCGGTAGGAAAAGGGTTAGATCCTGATTTTTTTTTAAATAAGGTCAGATCTCAAACAACTTCTCCAAAAGATCAAAAAACGAAATTTAGCCTCTGCATGGAGGCCGAGAGCCAAAATGCCATTCTCGCTATAAGAGTATCTGCGCTTCTGACGATGTTGTGGCGCTTTCGTGACTGCGCCGTCTGCATGGTGGGTGACGGGCGGCGCAAGACGTTCTGGCAGGCCTATGGTGTGGGCGGGACACGTACCATGGCTTTGCACTTGGTGGGCACTTTCGCCCTACCATCTGGGGCAACTATGCCATGGGGAAATGTAAGTTTTTTTCGGCTCTATCATCGTTGATGTCCCTGCACTGCCGACCTGCATCACCGCCGCATCATCCCCATCATGCCCTATGTATTCTGCGGTGAGGAAGAAACCCTTGAACACCGGCTCCTGGGATGCGCTCACGCTCAACCTTTGCCTTTGCTCCACGAACTGTGTCACCATTCTTCCGCGATCAACGACTTGGCCTTCTGCTGTTGTGCGCAATATTGCCGATGATGTGCTACTATTGAGATGGCGATGCTCTCCTACAATCTGTAAATCGACCCTAGTATCCTGGTGTACCCTAGTGCGCCGTGAGTGGCCTCCGGCCTCGTTTCCCCCGGTGACGTGTCCCGCCCATACCACGGGTTCCGCCGGAACGCTGTGCGCCGTCCGTCACCCATCTCGTCTAAATAGTATCGAATATCACACATCTAGCCAATTTACTCAAAAGCCTATACTAATAAGAAAAATGCTGTCAATATATTTTGTCAACTCACAGGAAGAGATCCTAGGAATCCTGTCCCTTAGCTTGCTGACAGTGGTTAGTGACGAGGCAGCGCTTTCCACCAGCAAGGGCACGGTAGATTATTGCAGCACGTAGCGGCAGATTGCTTGGCCATGGATCGACGACGAGTTCGCGAGTGCTCTCGCAGCCCCACCTGGAGCCGCCAACGGCGGCGAGCAGCTTCGCTGATGGGTGATGAGTGACTAGTGACTACGTACGTACGTAGATCAGTGAGTTTTAGTGCGTTGCGATCCTGAACCCGAACGTGCATGGCTTTTACTGTTTTACAGAAGGAGAAAAGAAAAGGTTTGTCGATGACTTCCCTTCCCAGTCGCCGGCGAAATGATTCGTTTCTGGATCAGTCGTTTTCACTGGCTGGCTAGCGCTTTTGTCCTCCACTGATGAGATCCGTGTCTTGATCTATCAGGCTAGTTCCTTCTTCCATTTTTCTTCATCAAAAAACATACAGTATTAAAGCAGTTTCTGAAATCAAGTGCAGGCCATCATCGTCTTTCCGCCACCGTTTTTCCGTTTCCGAAACCTTTTCTCCTTTTGTTGATTTCCTTGGCTTTAACCAAAGTATTCGTCAACTGATACAGAGTCATCCTCATCCTTTTCAGAAAATGCTCACCAGGTCAAGTGTGTATCGGAATTTAAAAAGAAAAAGAACATGGGCCGCCTAGGCTCATGCAAGTTTTAGAATGTTGCTGTTATTATTACAATATATAAAATAATTGGAAGAACGTTCCTGTTATTACATATTTTGACAGGTGACAATCTGTACTGCTGTGTATGTTCCTAACTGCACTCTTCTCCTACAGTGGGTAAGACCAGGAAAGGCTCAAAGGTAAACATGAGCCCAAGGAGCTGCACCAAGTTCAGCACCAAGAACACCATTTGATCACCTGCAGATTCAGTGGAACAAACTAGATCAAGTTACTTCCTAAAATAACTATATCAAGTATGTATAATCAGAAAGTCCTTCTGTACTACTAGTACAGAACATATTGATTGTTACCTGGGAAGAAGGTGCTGTCCTGATGTTTCTGCGCCCATGAGAACCTGCATTCATTCAGTACCATTAGGCGATGAGAATTAGGAGCCCACGGCAGAGTGATTCAGCACGAAAATTTCAGTTTTCTTGGTTCGAAACATAAATCAGTAATCGTAATTGTTTCGCTCATTGCACCCTGTTATGGAAAATATGAGATGACAGGAGCTACTCACAGATAACCAGCCCCTATTGGAGCAATTGCCTTGAAAAACGACATGGCAGTTGTCGATATACCATTCGCAGTGCCTCTTTGGTCTTGACGCTGGTATCAAATTCAGAAACGTTGTTTTATTCAGTTCGACTGACGCAAACATGGTGTTGCAAAAAAGCTCCCCTGGTTATATATATGCATACATACCACAGCATGGTTCTGCAGAAGGGAAATTCCTGTGCTGGCAGTAATCTGTACAAATTTGCAGTATACAAAGATTAAATACCCTTGGATACATAATTTCAGGGTAGCAGACTTTCAGAGAAAGCAGGTGCAGAAAAATGCTTACTGCAACAACACTTCTCATCATGGCTGCAGAGTAGAGAGCAAAAGAAAGTTTGGCGCCAGATAAGTATGTCATAAAGGGGTAAGTACTGACGATAAGTATGGACAGAGCCTACAGTGTCAAATTCAAAAACATCAGCCATGATCATCAAACTTAATCTATTTGTTTATGTGGAAAAGGCACAGCAGGAGACTACTCACAGAAGCAACACGTGACGAAATGACTGGCCCCAGAAACTTATGAACCCAGTGATAAATGATAAGCTGATATACAAGAAGACTAGCACCTGGACCAAAAGGAGAAAGTATTAGGTTTAGGTCACCCCGTGATACTAACATGCACCTTCAAAGCTACATTAAAGTTCCAAAAGTAAAAACATTAGGTAAAGGCAGAGGGATGCGAGACCTGCCACGGCAAGAACTCCACCGATATCTTCAGATGAGAAGCTAAGACCACCATACTTTCTGTCACTAACAGCCCACAAGGAAAGTATCTAGTATTGAAAGAACCGCATGACAGCTAGAGTGTTATTCAATGATAACTATTAAAGATGAATGCGAGTAGTAGATAGATGTATTTGGAGACTTGTCATGTAGCAGCAGAATGCAGAAAGGACAAGAATTCTAAAACAATATTTACCTCACTATATGCAGTGTCATGAAGACCAAAGAAACAATAGGACACCATAGTTGACATCCATGGCCAATTCTGGAGCAAACTCTTCTTGCGAGGCGAATCTAAATAAGCCTGTTCTGATGGCAAGGCTTTGACCTTTTCGATATCCTTCTCCGGACTCTTATGTTTGTGTATGGTCTCCTGTCAGTTCCATTTGACAAATAAGATTAGCAAACGTGGGAACAAAAGCTAGATGTAATGTGCCCCTAATTTGAATTTATTAAAAGAATATATCCACAGCATTTTCAGTATTAGAAAATGTGGGAAGAAAAACTAGATATAATGTGGACAAAATAAATTTTAACTTCTGTAGCATATTTTGTTTGTCTGTTGCAAATGGAATATAAAATTGGTCAGACTACAGATTATGCCAAGTAATACTGATATTCCTTGTCAGTATTAGCTATTGAAAAGTTAAATGAAGACTGATGATAATATGTAGTGAAACTATACGTACCGGCATCCATATACAACTTATTAGAACAATGGCAGCAAGCAATGACACAGCTACACAAGGTAAGAAATATGGAAACCTGCAAAATTAATCCAATGAGTCAGCCATGAAGTCAAGTATAACTATATTGCAAGCAGTTTTGTAAATAACTATATCTTGATCTTGCTGGATCTACCTCCCAAAAACTGACTCCTTGGAGAATGTTTGTGGGTACTTTTCAGCAGGCTGACAAAATGAGAGTGGAGTAAGAAAATGAAAGCAGTTCATCTCTTCGTTTTTGTCACACTAGCAATCTTGCAAGTGTAATGCAAGTCCATTTATACATGTAGACTAGTATACCTGGGCAAGGTAGCCTCCAAGAGCTGGACCGATTACAAGACCAAAACCCCACGCTGTGTTCACCTTTAATCAAAGCAAATCATATCAGGATAATCTTTGTTTTGAAAGGACTATATAATATGAAAACAGTAAGAACATGAGCAAATAAGTTGTTCTGAGAGATTACAACTGAGAGCCCAAGAGCATGATGTTCAGCTTGACAAACTTCAATAGCATAAGCCTGCATGGTCGATAAATATTTGTAATCAGAACTGAGATGCCTTCATGTTGAAGCTGGTAATTTTTAGTACCTTTATTGGAGCAAGTAAACCATTTAGGGAACCTAGAACAAGTCTTGTAGCTATTGCCATCCAGTACTCTGTACTTAGTCCAAACAGTGTGTTAAATATGACCCTGGAATATAAAGAAAGCTAATTATGTGACTAATGAGTTACCGAATAGCAAGATAAAAATTGTTGCCAAGTTGAATCAGAACTCCTGTTATAAACTGATTTAGAATTCATGTTATACTTACACAGACAGGATTGAAAATACAATGACAGGCTTCCGTCCAATACGGTCCGCAACAATGCCCCAAAAAATCGCAGAAAAGGCTCTGCCAATCATGTACGAAGAAGCTACATTTGAAAACACCAACATACAAATTTCATGCCTATATATTTAAATATATTTGATTTCTCAAGGACAATGTATGATGCGGGCTAAATGATGATATTTGTTTTTGAATGGTGGAGCCAGAAACTATACCAAGGAAACCAGCATAAGATCCTATATCTTCCTCTGTTTTAGCAACGTGGAAGTCTCTAACCTGTAGAAAGGGATACAACGAGATGAGATGTTACTTGCATTTTTTGTTACAAAATGAGATATTATTTGCATGAAAGAAAGTTTAAAATTTCAATGAAATGTCCAAAATTTCCTTAATTTCGGTGAGTACCAAAATATTGGTATCCTCGGAGTTTCAGACTAGATTCAAATAAAATCCAAATTTTAGTGAATTTTTGATAGATTCAGTTTCGAAAGAATTTTCGAGATTTCAGATATTTCGGTGATGTCCGAAAATTCTGGATTTACCCTACTATTTTGACAAGTCTGTGAATTTTGGAGCAAAGTAGTAGGGTAAATCCAAAGAATAACTAGGGGCTGTATTAACCTATTTTGAGCCAGGTCCCAGACTCGCAGTCTGGGGAGCCTGTGGCCTCGGGGCGGCCAGGATCGCCTGCTGTCCTGTCGGGGCAAAGCAGCGCTACGCTTGCTCCTGTCGCTCTGGCGGGCCCAGGTATCCCCACTGACCGGTCAGCACTGTCCCCAGACCCCACTCCTGCGGCGCTGGCGGGAAGAGACGCACCGACTGGCGCCCAAACCGCTTCTGCGCCCGCGACCGCGGGATCTCCTCCTGACATGGCTCATACCGGGCCAGCTGGGCCAAACGGGGCCGGGCCGCTACATGCTGTACCTGACCCCCAAGCCATGTCTTCCATGGAGGGTGCTGCCGGGCCAGGGGCCGTTGGGGCACAGGAGGCTGAGGCCCAGAGGACTGTTTCGATCCTGCAGCGACCCCGGGGATCCCCCACGCCGACGCCCAACACTGATCAGCGATCGTTTGCACCTGAACCACGCTCTCCGGCATCTGGACGGTTCGCATCGCCGCCGATCACGATGCGGCGATCTCGCAGCCGCACAACCACGCAGCAGGTTTGGACGCTTGGCGAGTTTCTGGCCGCGGCCACGAAGCACATCAGTGCGGCGCTGCTGACTCCCGGGAAGCGGCCACGTCGTCCCCTCTGCTTTGCCCCACGGCGAGGACGCTCCGTGACTGCAGCCACACCACCGGCGGCGCCGCCGACGGCTGAACGGAGGGCGCGCGTGCAGATCCTCCGCAACCTGGGGATTGTAGGCACCAACCAAAAGATCACAGCCATCGAGATGAAGGCCTACGACGACATGTTCGCGGCACCAATCCCCCTGTCCGTGCTGAAGGCAATCGCTGCCCTGGTCGATCGGGAGATCCCAGCGTGCTTTGCCTCCCCCACGCGCACGGCCGCGGCCACGGCCGGGGACAGCTAGGCACGCAGGCCATTCATCGTCGACCTCTTGTTCATGGATCACGAACTAAAAATCGCGGTTTGGAATGTACGCGGCCTCAACTCGCGTGCACGACGTTGTGCCATCCGCTCTCTGTTGGGCACTACCGGAGCATCCATTGTATGCATTCAGGAAACTAAAATGGCTTTGATCTACTCGCCCATTGTGCTTGACATTCTCGGCTCCGAATTTGACGCCTACACGTACCTGCCGGCTGATGGCACGCGGGGCGGTATTCTTCTAGCCTGGAAGAGCAGGGCTGTCACGATCTCCGACCCGTTGCTCACCCAGAATGCGCTCACGGCCAAGGTATCCGTGGCCTCTGGGACGCCGTGGTGGCTGACGACGGTCTACGGACCCCAAGATGACGCGGATAAAATTCTGTTCCTCCAGGAGCTGCGCGACGTTCGGGCGGCATGCCCCGGCCCATGGATGCTATGTGGTGACTTCAACCTCATATACCGCACGGAGGACAAAAACATGGGTGGCCTGCACCAGCGCATGATGAGAAGGTTTCGCCGCGCCATCAACGACCTCGCCTTGAAGGAGATCTATCTCAACGGGCGTCGCTTCACGTGGTCGAATGAGCAATCGCCGCCCACGCTAGTGCACCTTGACCGCGTCCTGTGCACATCGGACTGGGAGGATGCGCACGGCGAATGCCATCTCCGGTGCCTTGCCTCGGTCGTGTCAGACCACTGTCCGCTGCTGCTGGACTGCTCCCCCATGCCGATGGCGCACAAACGCTTCCACTTTGAGGATTATTGGCTTAGGCTTGACGGCTTCCACGACACCGTTGCCGCGGCTTGGAGCTCCGCGCATGACGACGACCCTTTCCGGCGGCTGGTCAAGCGCCTCCAGGCCACGGCTAAACGCTTATCGAGTTGGAGCGCCAAGTCCACGGGCAACATACGGGAAAAGCTGGCCATATCCCGCGAGCTGATCTTGCGCTTCGACAAAGCACGGGAGGACCGGGCGCTCTCCCCCCCGGAGGAATGGCTCCGCAAGCAGCTCAAGGTCACCTACCTCGGCATGGCATCCTTGGAGCGCACAATCGCCAGGCAACGCGCCCGTATCGCGTCCCTCAAGGACGGCGACGCCAACACGAGCTTCTTCCACCGGCAATGCTCCTATCGGCGACAGAAGAACCGCATATACAGCCTTGCCGCCGACGGGCATGTGCTCACGGCTCATGAGGAAATGGCCAACGCAGCGTTCTCGCATTTTGATGGCCTGCTGGGCACCGCTCTGGACCGGGCGCACACGCTGGATCTTTCCCAGCTCATTGAGCCCAGCGACCTTGCATGCCTCGACGTGCCCTTCAGCCAGGAGGAGATTTGGGAGGCGGTCAAACGCATGCCGGCGCGTAAAGCGCCTGGACCAGATGGATTCACCGCGGAGTTTCTGCGTGCCTGCTGGAGCATCATTCGCCATGACATATGGGACGTTTTCGAGCGGCTTTACACGCTGCGCGGCCGCGGGTTCAGTAAGCTTAACCAAGCGCTGCTGACCCTGCTGCCTAAGCGCGCGGACGCCCACTCGCTTGGTGACTACCGGCCGATATGCCTGATCCACATTGTGGCCAAGATCGTCTCGAAGGTCCTATCGTTGCGCCTTGCCCCCAAGCTGGATACCCTTGTAAGCAGCAACCAAAATGCATTCATTGCCGGGCGCAGCCTCCATGACAACTTCGTCCTAGTCCGGCAGTCCCTCAAGATGCTGCACCAACTTGGCGCACCCAGGATCATGCTCAAGCTCGACCTCACACGTGCCTTCGACTCCATCTCGTGGCCCTTCCTCTTTGAGGTGCTGCGCAAGTATGGATTTGGGGACCGATTCCGGGAGTGGATGGCCATCCTGCTCTCCTCGGCAAGCACACGGGTCATGATCAATGGAGTCCCCGGCCCGCCAATCTGGCACCGGCGCAGCCTACGACAAGGTGACTCCACCTCCCCACAGCTCTTCGTGCTGGCGGTGGACACCCTTGGGAGGCTGATGCGACACGCCCTACAGACCGGCATCCTTCAGCAGCTGCATCCCCGACGAGCCATTCCGGCGATCTCTCTTTACGCCGATGATGTGATGATGTTCTGTCATGCCACTACTGAGGAGATCGCCGCTGTCAAAGGCATCCTGGACGTGTTCGGTACGGCTTCTGGGCTCCGTGTGAACTACGCCAAGAGCTCGGCCACGATCCTTCACGCCGGCGACTACGAAGCGGGGCTGCTGGAGTCCCTCGGGTGCCCCATCGTGGCCTTGCCGGTTACCTACCTGGGCATCCCGCTCTCCACTCGCCGCCCATCCGCAGCACAGCTGCAACCCCTCGTCGACGCGGTGGCGGGTCGGCTGCCTTCCTGGAAAGCTTGGCTGATGAACAAAGCGGGACGGCTAGCGCTCGTCAAATCGGTGCTTAATGCAATACCGATCCATCAACTACTAGCGCTTGCGCCCCCAAAGAAAACCCTCAAACAATTAGAGAAGATTCAGCGCGGGTTTCTTTGGGCCGGCCGCGCGGATGCCCACGGTGGACATTGCCACGTCAACTGGCGTAAGGTTTGCCGCCCGCTTGAATATGGCGGCCTTGGCATCCGGGACCTCGAGCGCACGGGGCTATCACTTCGGCTGCGCTGGCTATGGCTCACGCGCACGGACACTACTCGAGCCTGGCAGGGGCTGGACATGCAATTTACGACGGCGGAGCGTGCGCTCTTTTACGCCTCCACGACCATGGCCATTGGAGATGGTAGGACAGCCTTGTTCTGGGAGGATCGCTGGCTTGGTGGCCAATCCGTCCGCGAGCTTGCGCCGAGGCTCCTCAAGTGCATCCCCAAGCAAAGTCAAAAATCTAGAACGGTGGCGGAGGCCCTGGCCGGCAATAGTTGGGCACGTGACATCCATGGCCTGCTAGGCCTCCCAGAGATTGGACAGTACCTTCAGCTCTGGCACTTGGTGCAACCTGTCGAGCTGTCCAATGAGCCGGACAGGCTGCTCTGGAGCTGGACAGCCAGCGGCGCCTACACCGCCCAGTCTTGCTACCGGGCAACTTTCCAGGGCGCGACGGGCTGCCACTCCTGGAAGCTCATTTGGAGGAGCTGGGCACCGCCCAAGGTGAAATTCTTCCACTGGCTGGCATGTCAAGATCGCTGTTGGACCGCGGAGAGACTCGCACGCCGTGGCCTGCAACACCACCCGCGATGCCTTCTGTGCGATCAAGAACCGGAGACGATCGGGCATCTGATGCTCACATGCCCATTCACTAAGCAGACATGGCAGGAGGTACTATCTTGGCTGCGCTTGCCGGCGCCGGCGCCCGAGCACGACGGCTCGCTCATGGATTGGTGGCTGCGCGCAAAGGAACACACACCACCAGCGTCCCGCAAGGCGCTCAAATCCGTGGCCCTTTTGGTACCGTGGATGATCTGGAAGCATAGAAATGCGTGTGTTTTCGACCATGTGTACCCATCGCTGAACGAGCTTGTAGAAAGGATCAAAGACGAGACCAGATGTTGGGCAAAGGCTGGAGCTCAAGGGCTCAGGGTCGTTTTGCCATCATCCTGGGACGTGCACTGAGCCTCTGTTGTCTGTGTGTACAAACCGCCTCCTAGGAGGATGTAAATACCCTCTCTTTCCAATGTAATGAAACGCAAAGGCCATTTGCGTTTTCTCAAAAAAAAATTAACCTATTTCAAAATCTAAATCTAAATCTACATCTAAACTTCAACTTTAAGATCTCCTGGACCAAGTAGGTAACCAAAAGTAATCTAATATAATCTAATCAACAACTTGATCTAGAGATTAGTGGATGCGCTAGGTCGGTGATAAAATACATACCATGAAATACATAAAGGGAAAGAGGCATGTGATGGGCAAAGCTGAAAAAGACAAAGCAAGAGCGTATATTTATTGTCAGAATGAGGGACACATATTGCACCGCCGGATGCGTTAGGTGAAACTGCATGATCTTTGCAAGAGGAACAATTGACAGCTAGAAACAAAACAAGAGAGGAAAGCAGTTAGATGCATGATCGTGGAACAACCAACATGTGGTAGTTCATGTACTACTCTGGGTAGCTTTCTATCTCAGGCTTGGCGTGATGCTGGATCTGAGTGAGGTGTTTGCTCTGCTCTGTAAAGCAGTTTTTCTCTTCTCTGAACACGTGCATGGACGTTAGAATGCATGTCTTCTGAAATACTGATGGCTTGTAATAGCAAATATACTCTAGCATCTATGCATTGGATACTGAGCTTGCTTGGCGCCATGGATCTGGTGGCCATTTTGGATTTGCTCGTGTCACCGAAAATGAGTAAACAGTAGCAGTGCGTACTGCTTATGGAATCTTGTTTCTCAATGATAGATGTGCGACAGGCATAAGTTGCGGGATTCAGAATGTGTTATTAATTTTGAATCTTTCAAATTTGTTTCTACTCCTCCGTTTCTAAATACTCCCTCCGTTCCCAAATATAAGACCTTTTAGAGATTCCATCATGAACTACATACGGATGTATATAGACATATTTTAGAGTGTAGATTCATCCATTTTGCTCCGTATGTAGTCCATAGTGAAATCTCTAAAAGGACTTATATTTAGGAACAGAGAGAGTACTTGTCTTTCTAGAGATTTCAACAAGTGACTACACGCGGAGCAAAATAAGTGAATCTACACTCTAAAATATGTCTATATACATCCGTATGTGATAGTCTATTTAAAATCTCTAAAATGACAAATATTTAGGAACGGAGGGAGTAACATTTTAGTAGATAAACACACGTGAAGTTAGAGTACTCTGAGAATGGAATGGATGGAAAACGAGTTTGCAGATGAGCTATATATTACCGTTTTCCTTTGATCAGTTAGAAGTGAGCTATTTTCTCCATTCGTTTCTAAATATTTGTCTCTTTAGATATTTCCTTGGAAAATGAGCATGTATTTACCAGCTCATAAGTATAAATAATACTGCAGTTTTTTCTAAGCGATCAGACGGTACGCTATTTTTGAAGTTTGCATATTTTGTAGAATTAAGGCAAACTTTAAACAAATCTAAAGAACATGCTCATTTTTTTAAGTACAGGTTGTGAATCTTGATCCGCCGTCGCCCAATACTTCCCGGTACTTGGCTTCACCCCTAGAGGGGCATCTTCAATGGCGTTCATCAAACGGACGCCCCCAAATGTTCGCAGACATGTTCGGATGTGTCAGGCGGGCGCCACCCAATGCTATCCCTTAATTCTTTTTCCTATTTGTCGGGCATCCCCCTTTGTCAAATTTACTCGATCAATATCAATTCGATGATATATTTAAATAGTTGCGAACAAATGCAACTAATAGCAAAAGCGCCGAAAGTTCAATAAGTTTTATATATCCATCGAACCATCCAATAGCAAAACTTCGGTGTTCAACAAATAGATTTGCTACAAATCAAACATTAGATTTTTTTAGCATGGTAAATAGAACGCCCGAGATGACAAATTATGTTGTCGCGAGGATGACAATTTCTTTAGCAAGTGTGACATATTGTTGCCAGTTTTTTTTTGAGGAATTGCCATGCTTGCTAAAGGAAATTGTCATTCTCGCAGCAAGATAAATTGCCATTAAAAATATCAGTTTGTTATGCTTAAAAATATGATGTCAGATTTTTAGCATTTTCACAATGGATTTATGGGAGGTTTGGTGATCTACATTGGAGATGCCCTAAGGGTGTGCACGAAAATTGCTTATAATTATTGGTCCTCAATCGAAAAGTGGCTGCAGAGGCCGAGCTCCATTGAGCTCTATATACATTTCTCAGCCAAAATACCTTTTCCATAACTCAAAAAAATCTGAAAAAATGTTTTCATGTAAACATATACTTGAAGTATGCGTGTACAAATTTTCATAAACATATGTATTCATATGTGATGTATACAAAAAACACAAATACACAGATTGAAATAGGCTTTTTCTTTGTTGTATTTGTGTCAGATATTTGTCTTTTTTGTATAGCATGCAAATGATCAAATTAGTTACTGAAAATTTATACAGACTTAAAGAATATGCATATGTATTTGTACAAAAAAATGGGCATTTTTTGAAACTTTTAAATATATTTTGATTTTTTTTTTGCAAAACGAGCTCCATGGAGCCCGGTCTTTGCAACGCCACACTCGGTCCCCAATGCGCTATATGCAGCCATGCAGGCAGAGGCAAGTGAGGTGATCACCTCAGGATGTGTAGGAATATATCAGGGCCGGGTCCGTGTAACAATTCTCGTGTCACGGGGGCGAACATAGGACCGTACGGCCCGGCCCTACTCCTACCTCTGTGCAACCTGTGTGTCGGACAATGACTTGTCTCTGTTTGTGGCGTCCTGTCGCCGTACGGCCGGTCACCGAAAACACCGTATTTTCCCATCACGACGACAGCCCTATGATAACATTGCAATGCAGAATGTACGCCCCGCTAATCTAATCCAATTTAATCTAGAGTAATTTTAGAAGCATTGGTTACGTACATGAGGCGAGGGTGGTGAGGCCGACGAAGAAGAGCTCCTTGTAGGGGATCCTGCCGCCGGAGCTCTCCTTCCTCCGGTCCTGCGCGCACCCGGGGCACCCCGCCTCGTGGTGATAGCTCCTCGCCGCCGACGACGCTGGCAGCAGCAGCGGCGCCGCCGCCGCTCCTCTTTCCTCGTCCCCCATTGCAATGGAGAGCTCTTCTCTTCGATAGACTGGGGTGGATGAATACGCTTCGTCCCGGGCTTTGGCTTGGTCCACCTGCCGGGGGTTTATACAGGCCGCTAGCTAGTTCCCAAACCACGCAGGTTGGCACACCTTGCTGATCCACCTGCTCCGTGCTTTTTAAGTGTATGTACACGTGACCAGCTACGTGGTATGTGCGCTTTTTACTCTGCTTCGGTTCAATGGTCTGGGTGTTGGGACTAGATTGGATGTTCGGGGCGGCCGAAACTCTTTCCTATTATCTCCCGACCTAAAAGGAACTGGATTCATGCATCGAAGGTTTTTTTTAAAGAATCAACGATTCAGGATTTTCGTCTCGCCAGGACTTAGAGCATCTCCAGCCGTTGGCCCCCCAGGCGACGATTTTACGCGACTCCTGGGGGCGAGCTGGCGCTAAAATCGGCGCGGGGGCGAGTGGGTTCCCAGCCGCTCGCCCCGCCCCAGACGCGTTTTTTTTATTTAAAAAAACTGAATTCGGCATAGTTCGGCTAAAATTCGGCAAACTTGATATTCATGTTCGGCGTTTTACATAAATTATTTAAAAAATAATAATCTACGGAGCGAAGAACTCGATCAGCGCGGTGAAGTCGCCGACGTCGCCGCCACCATCGTCGTCGTCGGCGGCCTTCTCTTTCTTGATGGCGCGGCCGCCCCTGCTGGACCCCTGCCTGGCGTCTCCATGGCGGACAGGCGGTGGCGGCGTGTCGTCGTCGTCGTCGCTGTCGTCGAGGACGACGATGCCTCCCTCGTCCCGGCCACGGTGACGAGCTTCGAACCGCGCGAAGGCGGCGCGCTGGCGTTCCCTCTCCGTCTGCACTCAGTCGTCGCGCGTCCATTTGAGGGCCGCTTCGTCGTCGAGCGCCTCTTGCTTGACGGGCTCCGTCTTCACGACGGGAAGCCCCGGGTCCGGTTTGACGACGGCGAGCCCAGGCTCCATCTTCGGCTTGACGAAACACGGTGGAGCCGAGGAGGTGGCACGCCGGTCGCCCTCGTTGATGACGATGCTGGCGCTGCGTGTGCGCCGGTCGAGCGGCGTCTCCACGGCGGGCTCTGCCTTGACGCTGAAGAGCGCCGGCGAGCCGGAAGAGTGGGAGGAGGAGCAGGAGGAGGAGGAAGAGTGGGAGGAGGCGGCGGCGGCGAACCTCCTGGGCACCCATGGCCTGGCGCTCCGGCGAGGGGCCGACGCGGCCACCGCGGCGGGGTACGCCAGCGGCGGGTTGTTGCCGCCCTCGAGGTGTGCGATCACCTCGTGCAGGGTGCGGCCGGGGACCCCCCCACCAGACGCGGCGGCCGTCGCTATTCTTTGTGCCGCCGACCACCGTCACCCCGTTCATGGACGCTAGCCTCTGCGCCTGTCGCCGCTGGAAATAGTCAGTCCAGGCGGCGTGGTTGTCGGCGGCGTACTGGGGGAGGGCGTGCTGCTCCTCCGACAGGGACGCCCGCACGCGGTCGACCTCAGCGGCGAAGAGGCCGGGGTGTGCGTTGACGTCGGGCACATGGGGGATGGGGACGCCGTCGTTGCTGAGCTTCCACCCCGTCGGCCTGGCGCGCATGTACGTCGGCGTCGGGATGTTCGCCTCGAAGAGAAGCCACGACTCACACTCCTGGAGCATGCGGCGGCCGAAGTCGTTGGCCGCCGCGGCGTCGCCGGGGAAGCGTTCGGCCATGGAGAGAGAAGGGGAAGGGGAGGGAAGGGGAGAGCTCGGCGGCGGAAGGGAGGGACGGCGGCTGGTTTGGGCTCGGCGACGAAAGGGAGGGACGGTGGCTGGTATGGCCAGCGGCGAGGGAAGCCTCTGTTTATATAGCCCGAGGCCATGTAAACGTGTGATAGAAGGGGAGGCGTCGCCGCGCCTGCCCACCCGTGACGCACCGCCGTGATGAAGGAATCAATGGCAAGGCTGACCGGCGACAGCCTTGCCATTGGTTCCCCGCAGAAAACCAAGGCGTTCCGGGGAGGACAAGGCGTGTGCCGCTGACTCGGCGGGCCCGCCGAGTTTTCGCGCCAAAACCCCTCGCCCCAGTGCCCCCGAGCGCCCCCCAGCGCGCCGGGTTTGGCCTAGGCCCGCCGGCGCCGATTTTGGCCCAAGCCGGCGAAAAACAGGTTTCTAGGGGCATGACTCGGCCGAATTTTGGGCGCAGGCGCGGCAAAAACGTCTGGGAGGGCCTATTGGTGCCGCGGCTGGAGATGCTCTTAGGACAACTCTAACCGATCCCCCGTAAATAGAGAAGGATCCGGACGAGTAAACCCTTTTCTTTTTCTATAGTATAAATTGCAACTATATATTATCGTGCATATAGAAACAAACATAAATATGAATGTCCAAGCAAATCACGAATATAGTTTACAAACCAAATTCAAAGTTTATAAACTGAATTATTTAAATTTAAACACACCGAATAGTCCAAATGTAGCAAATAACATGTGTTACAACAAGTATGACTCACTAAGACTGTTGCGAGTGATGCTTAATAAGATTATCTTGAAGTTGAGCATAAACTTGTCAATTCTGGATCTAGTGATGCTCCTCAAGGAATGTCACGATCGTATTTGGATCATACTCTACCTCAACCGGAGTATTGTTGGTGATGTACCGAAAGTTCTCAGGCATCTCCCTCTCATCTTCAACGATCATGTTATGTGGCTCCGGTGATGGAGGGGCGATGACGGCGGCGCACCTTCGGCTCGCTTCAATGCTTGTAGTCGTTGCTAGGCGGTCTACATATTAGTATTTATTTTTTATTAATTCTGTTGTTCATTGTACCGTCATGATTGAAGATGAATAGATCGGATATTTTCCCACACAAAAATTGATGCAACAAGTCATGATCTGCCATAGAACCTGGGAGCTATAGTACTTGGCAGGGACATGAAGAATTGCAAATCGCTTCTGAAGCACACCGAAGGCTCTCTCCACATCTTTCCTAGCAGCTTCTTGACAGTGACCAAAGTGAATATTTTTGTTACCTTTTGGACACGGAATTGTTTTGACCAATGTGGCCCATGGTGGATAGATGTATCCGCAAGGTATTAACCCATTGAGTAGTTGTGCACATTAACCAAGTAGTTGCAAGCAGGAGCATCTTCTGTAATAAGCCTAGAAAACAGTGGTGATCTCGACAGCACATTCAAGTCATTGTGAGACCCAGACGAACCAAAGAATGAATGTCATATCCAAACATCCTTCGATGCAACTGCCTCAAGAATAATCGTTGTAGTGACCCTTCCGCCCTACAGGACAATTTTTTCCATGCCCAGTGCATACAGTCAAGTGATCCAAGCATCCCTGGCCATCCTCTTGCTTCACTCTCGGTCAATAGCCCCTGTGTGTCTTCCTCGGTGGAGGATCTCAAGTACTCAGGTCCAAAGACATCAATCACTATTTTTGTGGACCTTTGAATGGCCTCCAAGATTGTGCCTTCACCAATGCGGACATAGTCATCAACAGCATCGGCCGAGCACCCATATGACAATACTCGAACGTACGGAATGCACTTCATCGGAGGGCTTGCCCTTATCTATCCACTTGCATTTCTGTAGAGCTTGAACCAATCATCATACTTCTCAATGACTTTTGCAATGGCCAGAAAAAGACGTGTGTGCATCCGAAAGCGCCGGCAAAAGTACTTCTCTGGATATGTTTGCTTCGGAGCAAAGTAGTCTCTCGTGATCTTGGCATGGCCCTGCGCTCTATCACGGTTGATGTGTATGCGTCCGAACTGCGATCCTCTCCTAGGGGGCCAAATATCATCATTGAAAATCATGCCTAAAACGGTTTCAAAGTCTTCGCCGTCTTCTTCCTCTTTGGATGATGACGAGTCTTCGAAGACCATCTCCCTCAACCTCTTCATCTACAATTCAAATGGCTAGGTTCAATCCAAACGGCTCGATTCAAAAAACAAAAGAACCAAAAAACTCACCTGAGCAATTCGTCGAACACTTCCGGTGCAGTTGTGATGCACCGACCAGCCGTCGTCATTTCGGTCAAACCGGCGGGTGGCGAAGCGTGAAAATGACCTGGAGCAGAGCGAAAGCAAGGTCAGGAAGCGGTGGCCACAAAAGAGAAGAAAAAATGAATCAATCCGATGAATCTGCTATGGCGAGGCGGCGACGTTTCACCTCAATTTTGGCGACGACGGACGAATGGACTAAGCGCCGGACAGAAGGACCAAGGGAGGCAATGCAATAGCGGCAGGGGCCGGGGCGATCAACAACGAAGAGGCAGCGGTGTGGAAGAGGCGATAGAGAGGCACGAGCTTTTGCTCCGAGCGGTAACCGTGGGGGTAAAAATAGGGGTGGGATAGGCACTGGATGATAATTTATCCTCCGCTAACGGCTATTGGGGATCGGCTAGGTGCGCGTTAGAGGAGGATAGCTGAATTTATCCTCCTCTACCGATGGATAGGGGATCGGTTCGAGTTGCCCTTAGGGTGAGGGAATGAAGCATGAATCTAAAGCCGCTGTTTCGTGCGACGCACGCTAAGCGACAATATTCATCTTTGACCTCTGTGCGGCGGGGCTATTGATTTATCGCCCCGCATCCTTGTTCGACGAGGTGATGCTCGTTGCATTCTCGTGCTTAATGAGGATGGGAAACTGGTCGACGCTCGCGAGGGGCATGTGGGCCAAGTTATCGAAATGGATCAAAATATATCTTAGACATTTTTTTGGCGGAAATATAAACAAGAAGAGTCTGGTACAGCTCTCATTGCTTGGAAGAAGGTTTGTCAACCCAGAGAAAAATGGTGTTTGGGCAATCTTCATTTGGTTGTTGATAGTAAATCTCTATTGTTGAAAAACTTGCACAAGTTCTTTAATAGAAACAATTTCCCTTGGCTGAAATTAATTTGGGAGAGTTACTATACTAGCCAGCTTCCTAGGAAATGTCGCCGCCTCCATGATAGTAAATCTCAAGCTGATCCAATGTCTGTGTTGCTCTCCATGATACTTGGTTGGACACACT